ACGATGATTTGGTCCCACACAGCGTATGTCCAGACAACGCCTGAGCTGTCGAGAAATACCGCCACCACACTGGAATTGATTTTATCATAACTTAATCATAACTCATTTTAACGCTTTCTTGATTGTTTACGAGCCATTTCAGCGATGTTTTTGTTTACCAGCTTAAATTTGTGGCCGATTTGGCCAGATCTGCTGTCCTGCTACTCCATCCTTGACCCTTCATGAACAAATGATTTGTTACTTCTCTAGTCTTGACGAATATGAACGGGTTTTGGATTTTGATAGCAATCAATAAAAGAAAACTAGCTGAAAAGCGAATCAAAATTTTTTTTTAGTAATATTGTCCTGCCACTCACATTATTACGTGGTGTCTACAAAACGCGCTTCCTCGCTTTACTGGCGATTAAGTGCAGTAATTGATAAAATTTAAAGTCTTAGCAGAATTTCTAAAGTGACAGACCGGAACGGAACAGGACCCCCATTCGGACCATCTTGCCCATCCTTGATGTACGATTGCTCCTTGATATGCTTCACCATCAACATCATTAAGCCCCTATAAGAATTCTCAGACAGTCGATTTATTTTTATGCTTTTTAAATAATTAAAGCGTTGTAGCGCATGCTGACCTGCTTGCCATCGGAACGATTTTGAATCGAACTTTATCTATTATACTTTAGCGCTCGATGAGCCGATGTTCCCTGTTGTGTAATAGACCTCTTTTAAAGCAAAAATAATTCTAAAGTCAAAATCATCGCCCCTCCCCTCCCCCTCCCTCTGCTCCCGACCCCATCTTACATAGGAAGGGAAAAAATTTTAAAATAGCTGAGTTGGTTGTTTTTTTTAAAATTTTTGAATTATTGTGTCCTGAAAATTGTTGAACCTTATTAGTGGAGTCCAGCAAGCAAAACTTTACTTCTTACGCGTTTTTGCCGTGGAGCGCTGGAGCGCTGCAACAGGCAACAAAAACGCATATTGCAACGGCCCTGTCAGTGTGTGTGTGTGTGTGTGTGTGTGTATGTGTGTATGTATGTATGCATGTTTGTGTGTGTGTGCGTTCCCTGTCCGGGTATTTCAACTCGCTAACCACGCAAGCTTTGAAGCTGAAATTTTGCCAGTGTGTTCCCCAGCAAGGTACCACCCCAGGACCACAGTTTCAACCCTCACACACGTCTGGGCCCCGCGTACAAGCACGTGAAAGTTTTGGCGCGAAGATCGCTAACTCGGTAACGAGAAGAGCTAGAAAGTTGAAACCTTGGGAGAATGTTCCCTACCCATGTACGACAAAAACATTTCAAATTCAACTGCCCAGGAGTGCTCACGTACGGGCACGTGAAGATTATGGCGGGAAAATTCATAATTCGAGAATGAGAAAGCTGGAAAGTTGAAACTTTGGGGGATGTTCCATACTCATGCACGACCAAAAATTCTCAAACTTAGCTTCATAGGACTGCCAGGGGCTCACGTACGGGAGCGTGAAAATTTTGGCGCAAAAATCACTAACCTAAGAATTGGAAAAATCAGAAAGCTGAAACTTTAAGGGAATGTCCCCTATTCGCGTACGAGCAAGATCAAGTGTTTAGAAGCGCCCGTGCCCACGCATGAGCGCATAGTAATTTTGGCGCGAAAATTACTAACCCGGGAACGGGAAAGGCTAGAAAGCTGAAATTTTAAGGGAATATTCCCTACTCATGTACAAGCAGAATCAGGTGTTTGAGAGCGCCCGAGTCCACGTATGGGCATGTGAAAATTTCGGCGCGAAAATTACTAACCCGGGAACGGTAGAAGCTAGAAAGCTGAAACTTTAAGGGGATGTTCACTACTCATGTACGAGCAAAATCAAGTGTTTAGAAGCGCCCGTGCCCACGTACGAGCACATGATAATTTTGGCGCGAAAATTACTAACCCGGGAACGGGAAGAGCTAA